CATTAAGAAGTCAACATTAGGCCGGGCGGTGGTGGCGCACGCCTTTAATCCCAGCACTCTGGGAGGCAGAGCCAGGCGGATCTCTGTGAGTTCCAGGCCAGCCTGGGCTACCAAGTGAGTTCCAGGAAAAGGCGCAAAGCTACACAGAGAAACCCTGTCTCGAAAAAACCAAAAAAAAAAAAAAAAAAAAAAAAAAAAAGAAGTCAACATTATACCATATGTAATGAAACTTTAAAAAAGTTAAAAAATTGCCGGGTGGTGGTGGTGGTGGCGGCGGCGGCGGCGGCGGCGGCGGCGGCGGCGGCGGCGGCGGCGGCGGCGGCGGCGGCGGCGGCGGCGGCGGCGGCGGCGGCGGCGGCGGCGGCGGCGGCGGCGGCGGCGGCGGCGGCGGCGGCGGCGGCGGCGCACGCCTTTAATCCCAGCACTCGGGAGGCAGAGCCAGGCGGATCTCTGTGAGTTCGAGGCCAGCCTGGTCTCCAAAGTGAGTTCCAGGAAAGGCGCAAAGCTACACAGAGAAACCCTGTCTCGAAAAAAGCCAAAAAAAAAAAAAAAAGTTAAAAAATTATTTTATGTATATGGATGTTTTGCCTGCATGTCTGTCCATGCACCACATGCATGCAGTGCCCTTGAGGACCGGAAGAGGGTGTTGGATCCCGTGGAAATGGAGTTACAGATGGTTATGAGCTACCATGTGGGTGCTGAGACTCATACCTGGGTCTTTTAGAAGAGCAGCCAGTACTCTTAACCACTGAGCCATCTCTCCAGCCCCCATAATGAAACCTTTTTACATTAAATAGATAGGATCTCCAAAGGCTCATCATTATCCATTTTAAGCAGGTTCCAGTTGGTTAGCATCTAAGGGAACTAAAGAAAAATATTAGCAAGTCCAGTGCAGCATGAAAAGATCTCATCATTTGTATCAGTTATTCTTTTTTTTTTTTTTTTTCCGAGACAGGGTTTCTCAGTGTAGTTTTGGTGCCTGTCCTGGATCTTGCTCTGTAGACCAGGCTGGCCTCGAACTCACAGAGATTCACCTGCCTCTACCTCCTGAGTGCTGGGATTAAAGGTGTGTGTCACCGCTGCCCGGCCATTTATTCTTTTAAAGGAGTTGAGTTAGGTACAGTTGCATGGATGGAGAAATTTCCTTGTTAGCTTTCCATAATTCATAGTCCCCATGAGTTGTCCCTTGTTCTCATCCAGGGTACTGGCAAAGGACTGCCTTGCATTTCTGTGTGCCCAGGTGAGGTTCACTCAAGCTCTTTAGCCTGACCCAGGGCCAAGGGAAAGCAGGGCTATGCTCTGGCCTGCTGTACCCCTTCCTCAGACTGGCTCGGGTTGCAGCTGCTGATATTGTCAGCCATAGAAGGCCCTGGGCTGAGCAATAACAGTTACTTTGAGTGCATTAACTTTATATGTCTTTGATTTTGTAAACTTTTAAAATAATATATAAAATTCAGGTGTGTAGCTAATATGCTTCTGAAAGTCATATAGATGCACAGGATATCATTTTAAGATAGTTGCTTATAAGCAGTTCTTTAAGGACTTTAACAAAAACAGATACTTAAATGGATTTCAGCTTTGCTAAGGTAATTTTGTAAGTAGCCCAAGTCTGAAGCATAAAAAATGAAAAACAAAAAAAATCAACAAAATCTTGTCTTTTAAGTTAAACAAATTGTTATTAGCAGAACAGTATTCATACTTAAGTTTTAAAATGTCATAAGATGGCATGTAACTATTTAGGTGCACAGACTGCCTTATATTTTTTCTCAGGTTTCTAACAGACAGTTTTAAAATAACCATCTGTATTTTCTGAGCCAAGAAACTGAACAGTCAACTTTCTCAACATCCTTAGGATTCTCAACTGTTGATAACATGGTTAGTGGATGACTAGAAAAGAAAAGTGAATTTTTAAATGTACTTTGGGCATCTGTTACTTATATTTTGAATCTTGAAATCTTGAATTACATCTAATTTTTAAACTCATGATTATTTTTAAGACTTTTACAAATATCAAAATGTTAAAAAAAGGTTACTATGGTTTTTTTCCTGTAACAGTAACCAGATGAAGTTTGTAATTGAGTGATATTTTTTAAAGTAGTTTGAAAAAACGAAAACTTGCAAATTGGTTGAATTGTCACCTTATAATTTCTACTGAAATCTCCTAAATCATACCTGCACTGAGATGATAATTCAAGATACACAAGTACAGCAACATTTCCAAACCAAATAACAGGTGAAAATACTAAAATGTTGTTGAGTCTTAGGGTAGAGTGATTGAAAAGTTGATAGTATGAACTACAGAGACAGTCTTACAGAAATCGGATTTTGTAAGAAAGCTTTTGCTTTGCTTTTCCTATAAGATACTTCTTACCTAGCTGTATAAACTTGAACTGGAGAGTGCATTCAATTCTAGTCATTTGGACATTTATATAAAATAGATTAGGCAAAAAAGGAAGGAGGGGGTAGACCTCAGCTGTTTCTGAGAAGTATCCATGGTTCTGTTTACAATGGATAACAGATGAATTTAAGTTAAAACTGTAGATTTTAAAATTAAAGGACACAGGTTAATTTAGAAGATAAAGAAATGTTAATTTTTTTTTTTTTTTTGGTTTTTCGAGACAGGGTTTCTCTGTGTAGCTTTGCGCCTTTTCCTGGAACTCACTTGGTAGCCCAGGCTGGCCTCGAACTCACAGAGATCCGCCTGGCTCTGCCTCCCGAGTGCTGGGATTAAAGGCGTGCAATTTTAGAAGTGTTTTATCATTAAACAATATTAATTTGTTTTTAGAAAGAGTTTACATATAGCTCATCTAACTCTGTAAGCACAGAACCATAACAGAAGGGAGAAGATACAGCATTGAAATTTTAAATATGTAAAATAAGTCTATTGCAATACCATTTTTTCAATAGGTTTCATATACCAAGAAAATGTAACTATTTGAACAAAGGGAAAAATAGAGGAATTGCTCAGGCAAAGATGGGGAGGGCTGCTGCTCTAATGCCTTGTATCACAAGAATGGTATTCTTTTATCAAAAAGCAAAGAGAGCCGGGCGGTGGTGGTGCACGCCTTTAATCCCAGCACTCGGGAGGCAGAGCCAGGCGGATCTCTGTGAGTTCGAGGCCAGCCTGGGCTACCAAGTGAGTTCCAGGAAAGGCGCAAAGCTACACAGAGAAACCCTGTCTCGAAAAACCAAAAAAAAAAAAAAAAAAGCAAAGAGAAGAAAACAAAGCTCTCAAATTGATGTTGAAACTGTTAAATGCTGCTGGTAGCAGTAAATATGCATATATAAAACCAAAAGGTGAACACAATCTCCAGTAGCATTTTTCTTCATTGTATCTATCCGATTTACATAGTATAATATATCTGTCTATATCATAAGACTATTCTGTCTACAAATGAAAATATTGAGTTTAATAGTCCAACAATCAGAGACCCTAAGTTCAGTATCTTTGTGTGTGTGTGTGTGTGTGTGTGTGTGTGTGTGTGTGTACACTACACTGGTTTTCTCTTTTCCCCCAACAGCTGCCAACCTGTTTAGCTTGTCTGCTACGTTTCCCTTTTCTCTCAGACTCAAACCAAGAATCATACCTCTAGACCATCAAGCCAGTTTGTTTCCCCTTTCTCAAACTCCAACATGGTCCTTGAGTTTCCTTCTGAGTCCGTTTCCAAATTCTCCCACCAACAAGAATAACAACCACCCATCATTGTCTTCTATTTTCTGGAAGAAAAATTTGGCTGGGCCAGGCTTTACCCTTTCTCTTTTCCCAGCATGAGATTCCTGGAGAATTCCAGTTTCTTGAGGTCTATTGTTTGAGTAGTCTCATAGAGTGAGGGACATAGGTGTGTCTCTTTAGAATATCTTCGTCTATGTCTGGCTCATCACACCTCTACCTTCTGAGTGCTGAAATTATAAGTTGTGTCACATATCTAGTTCTGTGTATTTAGTCAGGCAGTGGTGCTTTGTTTTGTTCCTTTGGTGGCAGTTTTATGTTTTCCTGATTATTTGTGATCGTTTTGGCTTTGGCCTGAATATGAAGAAATAAGTATTTCTTTCTTTAGTCTTACATGTTTGCTGTGTCCTGGCAAACACTATCAGTCTCTCTGTCTAGAGAGTTTGGGTGGGTCATTTGGCAGGTTATATAGGTGGCCTTGATGGTGGAGTTCTTAGATGACCTGGTCTTGTGCTTTGGTTAACTTGTGGGTGGTGGATTCTTTTCTTAGGGGTTGGTCTGATGCCTTAGTTCTCAGTTGTGGACTTGGAGCCTGAAACTCGTCTTCAGCCATATTTCTTGGAGGCTGGCTTAGTGCTGGGATCATCCCTTAGGTCTTTGGAGGCTAGCCTAGCATAAAAAGGTTCATGAGGGCTGGTATGGAAGTTGGGCCAGCTTGTAGTTTATAATAGTGTTCAGCAGCTGGGCGGTGGTGGCGCATGCCTTTAATCCCAGCACTCGGGAGGCAGAGCCAGGCGGATCTCTGTGAGTTCGAGGCCAGCCTGGTCTCCAAAGCGAGTTCCAGGAAAAGCGCAAAGCTACACAGAGAAACCCTGTCTTGAAAAACCAAAAAAAAAAAAAAAAAAAAAATAGTGTTCAGCAGCTAACCTGTCATAGCAGATCTTGATTTTTTATCCATAGATTCTGTTCTGTTACTGGGCCTGAATTCTTGGTCTGCAAGTTGGCCAGTCTGTTAACCAGGATTACTACTAACACATTTGCTCAGAAAGGGTATTGTGAACCTAGGTCATGCTAGGGGACAGGAAGAGTTTCTATACATGAAATGTTTTTATATAGTAGCATATGCCACCACTCAGGAATAAATTTGCCACAATGTATGTAACTTTCTCACTTAATGATACTACCTTTTACAATATTGACTGTTACACATTAAAACAGGAATTGTTGAATAATGGAGAGTTTATATTGAACATTCAGTTGCTTAATTCAGTGACTCTGACCATAAGTATGTTAAAGATACTAACTGATATGTTTATCTTTGCTTTTCTAGTGATATGCAGCTTTCGAGGATCTGTCCCTCAAGGACTGGTCTTAGAAATAGGAGAAACAGTGCAAATTCTTGAAAAATGTGAAGGTAAGTGTGGGCCTATGAAACACATAAATAATGATTAGTTATGGAAGTATTAGTTATGCTAATAGATTTTTTTTTAGCAATCTTTGTGATGCCATTATTAACCATATTAAATACTGTTATAAAATCTTCCCTAAAAGTGTAAGTTTTTGGCTTTAATGTAGTAACAGACATTTCTGGCCATCAGAATACTAATTTTACTTATAATGTCAAATGGTTATTTTTAATTTCTTACAAATCTACTTGTACTTATCTGCATTTGAGTGAATTGTAATTGGTTCTTTTTTGTTTTTCTGTCACATATACTAGATATTTTCAGCTATAATAAGACCAAATATATGCTTGTCTTAGTTAGGGTTTCTATTGCTGTGAAGAGACACCATGACCACGGTAACTCTTAAAAGGAAAACATTTAATTGAGGGGGCTTGCTTATAGTTTGAGAGGTTCAGTTCATTATCATCATGGTGGGGAACACAGTGGCATGCAGGCAGACCTGGTGGTGTAGGAGTAGCTAAGAATCTTATATCTTACAGGCAACAGGAAGTCAGCTGAGACACTGGGTGGTATCCTAAGCATAGGAAACTTCAAAGCCTACTCCCACAGTGACATGCTTCCTCCAACAAGGCCATACCTACTCCAACAAAGCCACACCTCCTAATAGTGCCATTCCCTATGAGATTATGGGGGCCAGTTACATTCAAACCACTATGATGCTCCAGTGAAGTTTGATTCAACTACTGTCCTTTTCTCTTATATATGTGGTCATTTTTACTATGACATTTTTACATTCTGAAAATATATTCTAAAACCCTGAAATAAAATCAAACTAGAAATAATACAGAATCAAAGCATTAACAAAAAAAAAATAAGGATACTAGGAAGATAGCTCAAATGTTAAAGTACCTACTGCTCACACATGAAGATATGAGTTTGGATCCCCAGCATGTAAAGCTGGGTACAGCACCATGTCTGTAACCCTAGCATTGGGGGCACAGACAAACAGATCACTCAGTGGCCAGCCAGTCTAACTGAATATCTGAGCTCCAGGCTTAATGAGGGACTCTGTCTCAAAAAATAAGGTGGTGGGGGCTGGAGATATGGCTCAGTGGTTAAGAACATTCACTGAGCTTACAGAGGACTTAAGTTCTAGTTCTAGCACCTACATTAGGCTCACAACCACCTGTAACTCCAGCTTCAGGGGAATCCAACACCTCTGGCCTCTGTGGGCATCTGCATTCACGTGCGTATATCCACCCACATACAAATAAAAGAAGAAAAAGTGGTGAGTGATTGAATCAACACCCTATATTAGCTCTGGCCTCCATATACATACTCATACAGTACATACAACCACTTGAACCAGTGCACCTGCATGAAGATTTGCACACACATGAACGAACACAGGTGTATCATACACATGTTGTGTTGTGGGTATGTGGAAGTGACACTGATCCAGTTGGGCTGTTATTATGAGGGTTTGTAAATGTAACATGACTTTGGAAACACACAAGTTTACTAAGAAAAAAATTTTAATTAGATTTTTTTTGTTTGTTTTTTTGAGACAGAGATTCTCTGTGTAGCCCTGGCTGTCCTGGAACTCACTCTGTAGACCAGGCTGGCCTTGAACTCACAAAGATCTGCCTGCCTCTTCCTCTCAAGTGCTGGGATTAGAAGTATGTGCTGCCACTACCACCAGGCTTAAATTAGATGTTTAAAAAGTGTATGTATATAAATGTCTTGCCTGCCTGTGCCCCTGGTATCCTCAAAGGTCAGAAGAAGGCATTGAATCTCCTGAAACTGGAGTTGTTGATAATTGTGGACCACCATGTAGGTACTGGAAACTAAAACAGACTTTCTACAATAGCAACAAGTGCCCTTTATTACAGAGCCATTTCTCTAGTCCCTGGAAACATACAAGTTTAGTAGTATACTTTGTTGGAAAATTATCTCCAGTGCAGTACTCATTTTAAATTTTCTTAGAAGTGTAAGTCAACATTCCTTCTTGATAAAAACAATAAAAGAAAAATAGAGGGTAATTTTCTTTTTTTCTATCATACTTAGTTATTTAATGTTCTGATCAAAATATAGTTTTTGAAAAAATAATTAAAAAAGAAAAATTATAGAAGTAAATTAAATGCAACACACCAAGATGTATGGAATTCAGTAGAGAAAGTTCTAAGAGGGAACTTTATAGTTATTAAAGTGCCCACATTAACAAAAAACAAGACACTCACTAAATGCGTTATTAAGGTCTTACAAAAACAAGAACCCAGAATAGTACAAGAAAAAAAAAATAATAGGGGGCTGAAGAGATGGGTCTATACTTAAGAGCACTTACTACTCTTGTAGAAAATCCAAGTCAAATTTCTTTCTCTTTGTGTCTCTGTATGAAAGTATGTGATAAGATCTATGTGATGAAACTTGCCTGGATTTAGATGAATTTTCTCAGTTGAACTCAGAGTGTGATGTAGTGGCAACGTCCCTACCTAACACATTCAAGGCATTTGGGTTTCATCCCTAGCACTATTCAGAAGAAAATAAACAGTGACAACTACATCATAAGAATAAACAAGATATGAAAATAGAGTAATAATTAATTTAAAATAAGACCTTTACAATACCAATAAGAATAGCAAAGAAAGGGCAAAATAAACAACGAACTAAATAGTAATAAAGATGAAGTATTTTAAAAGCTAGTGAAAAAAAAGGTAAATGAGAAGGAAGATGGCAAGAGAAGGATCTGTTTGAAGAATAAGGGAAAAAGAAAAAAGTAAAAAATTTTAAAGGAGAAAAGAAAAATAAGAAAAATGCTCATCTATGTGTATATGTATTCAAGCTAAATAGGTCTAACAAAACTTAGTAAAAATAAAATTATATGAAATAAAGTAAACGTCTTCTGTGTGCCAAGGAGGTTAGTTATATAGGAAACAATGGTTTTCTCAACCTGTGCTGAACACATGATCTTCTAGTGACCTCTCTGGCTGTGTGTCCTTTGTGAGAACTTAGGCTATGGTGGCTTCCTTTCCTCAGTGCTTAGCACTGAAACTTGTGCATTAGTTACTTTTCTTGTTGCTGTGATAAAATACTTGATAAACTAATCTAAGGAGGAAGGGTTTATTTTGGCTCACAGTTTGAGAGTACAATCCATCATGGAGGGAAATCATGACAGGGCCGTGAAGTACCTGCTCAAATTGCATTTGCAGTCAGGAAGCACAGAGATCAATGATCTACTGGCTTTCTTCTTTTTATTCAGTCCAAGACCCCATTATGTGGAATGGTGCTACCAACATTTAGGGTGTATCTTCATTCTTCACCTCTTTTTGTAGATATTTTCATAGACATACCAATAGGTCCATGGTGATTTTAAATTCAGTCAAATTGACTGACAGTGAAGTTTAATGATCACATTGTAATGATTTGTTACTAGAGCCATTTATGACATTTCTCAGTTATTTTGCAAATAGGAGGAGAGGCACTACCCCTTTCCCCCCAGCAATTTACCCTAGTATTGTTTTTCTTCACACTCATGCAGCATAGTCTGACGCGACAAGCCTATCTGTTTCTGACATCTTTTGTGATGCCCACTGGAGACAGATAGGGTGATGCTATAGGGTAACCATTTTGCACAGTGAAAATGGGAAGGGTAGTATAATGGCAACTTGTTGCACACTACTGCTTCACAGACTCTGGTGTTTATAGATTTAGCTCCTACATTCAGTCACATTTGATCACTTCTTGCCTTACTACCCAGCTCCCACAGATGGTTTCCCTAGTTCATAGTCTGAAAGTGAAAGCAACCTTTGTTCCCTTATGCAAATCAGACATATTTACTTCTATATAGACCCCTCAGTGTTTTTTTTTTTATTTCTTCAGATTTTTTCCTGTAGGCAAACTAACTTGTAAGGCAAGACACCTGTTCACTTATTCAGTAAATTGATATTTGCTATGGGTTCTAGAGATAGGAATATACAGAGACCTCTGACTCCTGACTAAAAATCTCAGACAAGACCTTCTCAAGATGACTCCCCAGGGCCAGTGACATGGCACTTGCCATCAGGCCTGATGACCTCAGTTTGATTCCTAGAACCCATATAGTGGAAGGAGAGACCCAGTTTTCACAGGTTATCCTCTGACCTCCACATATGTCGTATAGCACTCGTGGAAAACTCACATTCACTCACACACTCACTCTTTGTGGTGTGTGTGTGTGTGTGTGTGAGAGAGAGAGAGAGAGAGAGAGAGAGAGAGAGAGAGAGAGAGAGAGAGAGAGAGAAAAAGAAAGAGAGAGACAGAGAGAGAGAGACAGAGAGACAGAGAGATTAAAAGATGTCTCCCTGTGATCTACACTATAAGATATTCTGGGAAGAGAGGGATCCCCCCCCCCCCCAATCTGGAATAGTACATAGATCCCAGGCCTATTGTCTTTTTAGACTGATTCATGATTTATAACCTATTTTGACTTTGGTTCTTTCATGTACTTCTGCTATAGATTTTTCATTTGATTCCAGTTTCTACTTAACACTTTGCCTTCTACTTCTCTTAGTATTTTTGGACTTAGTTGTGTGTTCTTTTCTTGCCTATAGTCTTAAAATTGACGCTGGCTGTTCTGTAAGAATCTTTCTACTGTCAAGCTGGAGAGAATAAATCTTTTTTTCTGAACTATATCATAGATAAAATTTCACACAAATTTAATAGTCTTTTCTAAAGTAGTATTGAACAAATGATTCCTTAAGTAAGCCAGTGGTAAAGAGTTCTTTTATCCAGAGAGATCTAAGCATTATAAATATTGATGTAAATTTAAGTTAGTAATAGACTATGGACTATTATAAAAAGAAGCCCCAGGGTTTGAAATTTTATATAGGCTCGTGTTTACTTTTTCCTGAAGCTTGAGGATAGGCTCTGGTGGGCAGAGGACGGTTTTAATTTGTGTTATAGTTTTGTGTGTATACTTGAAATCAAATTTATTAGAGCTTCAAAGTGACATTGATAATCTCTCATGTCT